TTTTTTTTTTTTTTTTTTTTGCGTGAACTATCCCTGTAAGGAGGCTGTGTCCTTCATATTGATGGTCGACCAATTTAGGTTTTTCAATTTTTATTTATTTTTTAATTATTACATTACAGCCCTCAATCCTGAAAATGTGCTTTGAAGTTTTAGGAACTCTCAGATATATTATGCCATTTAATCAAATTCACTATTCACAAAAAATATCCACTGCACAGAATGTTCATTCAAAAGAGATTTGACAAAGAAAAAATGGTTGAAAAACAAGTCCATCATTGATTAACCTCAGTGTTTAGGCTGAGACCATGTATTCAAAGAAAAGAGGAGGCCAGAGATGCTCTTTTGTCTGGGTTCCAGCGTGTCCCTGAACTGTCTATTTCCTTTAACATGTAAGAAAAATCATGCCGGTCTGTTACCAAGAATACGATCCACATGCTTTCTTGAGATACAAAGAACAGGATACTTCAGCTAATATTACCATCTGACTCTATTATAATTCAATCTACATATCAGGCCATTTTTTAATACTTGACATTAATTCAGTGACTCATTTTGAGTTTTATGAGGGTGTTTTGGACATCCTGTGTTAAACAGGAAAAGTACTGAAAAAGAAAACGCAGCTTCTTGCTGTTATTTTTTGTTTCCAGAGCTATGCTTTGGACGGACTGCTATCAGTAATGTTTTGACAAAGCGGATCAATTTAACTAGGCCAACAAGATAGTATTCTTTCATTTAGCAAACACTGTCAGTCAAAACAAGATGTCATGAACGATCATTGTAGAATATATATATATATATATTTACATTTAATTATATTTAAAAAGGCTCTTTTATATGTTTTCCCACTAAGGACCCATTTCTAAAGGTATATATCTTTGTGTAGCCTGTGACAATTGCGACAAAGAGAGTTGCTTTCTAGCAGCTTTGTCTCCAGGCAACGATAGCAGCAGTGAGGTGAATCAGATCTAAAAAGCTTGTATTAACATCAAATACACCTTGTATTGTGTTTCCTTATGAGATTAACCTAATTTTATTCACTAAACACATCTAAATAGATTAGATTTCACAATTAAGGTGGTTTGCCTCATTTTCTATAATATATAAGATGTTAAACGCTTACATCATAAGTAATTGAACAGACAGGATATGAAACATTCAACAAGTAAGTACACTTTTAAGTCAACTTAAATGTAGATCACTAGGCTGTCTGGTGAAAAAGATAACGATATTCCATTACAAATGCTATCTGAATAGGTTCTATAAATTTGAACAATAGGCAGTATCTTGGTCATAATGATGCTATAATGTTTAAATGTGTCTAGTTTAAGAGGCTCGTAATGAGATGGGATCACGGAAAGATTGCCAATGTTTTGACCTCTACAGGTCATTAGATGCATTTGTGTAAGTTCAAATGTTGCTGGAAGGTAAGCTACATATTTCCTGAGATTTACAAAGCTGAATGGGGTCAGGAGTTCAAGCAATGGCTAAATGAGCAGACTGAATGTGGTTATAGGGTAAACCAAAGTCGTGTGTGTGCATGTGTGTTTAAGTAATATGTACAAAATATTACACATAGTATAATATGCATCCCCTTGAACGATAACATCTCATCCAGCACAGTTCAGCTGAAATTGCTAGTGCCGTAAGATACATTTTTATATGGCACAGTGGGTCAGAGCATGAAGAGCATGAAGGTCAGACAAACTGACACAAGGGACAGTTGCAATTAAGTAGATGTTTGATTTTCATGGCAAAGCAGAAAACATGCATGTATACTTACAGTCCAGCTCTAGAATGCCTCTGACAGTATTAGTTAGTTCTTTAGCTTCCACAGCAAGTGCAGATGTTGTCCAAGGTGGTTTCTTCCCACCTTCGAGATGGCAGGGTCTGAGACAGAGTGACCAACTTTGGATTGCTGGGAGAACTGAAAAACAAAACACACAATCCTTTATTTAAAACAGTGTAAGCAGTTTCAGATGTTTTAACTAACTAACCTAACCTAACCTTAACCTAACTAAACTTTTGATTCAATAAAGATATATTTTATTTTATTTTCTCAAGAAAAATAACCCTCTGAAAACTGTGTCAGTCCTGAACGATTTGTTATAAAAGCTGTAGGAAAGTGCACTCCCTTTGACCTGAAATGAACAAAACATGCTGGGACTCCTAATAAAGGGTGAATTTTTGGGTAAGGGGATTCAGATCCACTGACATGGATGGACCAGTGTTATGAAAACATATTATGAAACTACCACACTTTCGGGTCATTTTTTCTCCAGCCACCTCCTCTGTTTCTCAGGATTTCTGGGACAGAGTTATACAGTATGTGATTTTGAATTCAACATTCTTTGACAATTAAATTAATTGTAACCAATGCACGATCCTTATAATAAACTTCACATATTCTTCATTATACATGGACATTAAATGGACATAAGTGCTCATTTTTCTCTCTGGTAAAGAGTTGATGTAAGATCCATCATGTCTATTTAATAAGTAAAGTTTTTTTCAGTGGACAATTATCTATACCCTTTTCATAAGTTATTCCTGGTATTTTGAAAGTGACAGTTAATAGTACTCATGATGAGTAAAATGTGTTTTCGAATCTTACTCAGATAGGTCGGCAGTAAGAAAGTCACACAGTCACTATCTAATTATAATAATCAATTTTGTTTTTTAAATTGTGAATTACCACACATTGTGCGTTCATTTATAGATCCTCACAGTGTGGTTTTCACACATTTCATGTCACCTGTCCATTAAGAGTGCTATCATACCCCACAGCTTCATAATTACAATGGCCTGATTACCTTTCTTTTATCTGACGTCTATTGAACGATGCCATGCTGATAAGTATCCAATGCTGTTGTGGTTTTCATTAATGCCAAAACATCTGTCTCTGCCTGTATTATGTAACAGCTTGTTTTACAGGTTCTCATCTGCCAAAACCTGCCCTGTCTATTCTCTCTAAAGCAGAAATGGACATAATGAAACTTGTTTGCACATGTCTTATTCCTTCAGCCTCTTTAGACTTAAAAGAAGCAGAGCTGTGCTTTGTCATGCTGCGAGTCTGGAGGCATTTCTTTTCAAGTGCACTAAGTTTGCAACGTTAGGGGGAAGAGCCCCTGAGCATTGTAGCGTCCTACTGTACATGCACTCTCATTGTTGCAGGAAGCAAAATCTGCAGTGGAGGAGAGTCGATCCCTGCGGACCCGGATCCATCTGGCAGAGGCAGCTCAGAAACAGGCCCGGGGAATGGAGATGGACTACGAGGAGGTTATCCATCTCCTGGAGGCTGAGATAGCTGAAATGAAGTCTCAGAAAACTGAGCAACCCAGCCGTGGAAAGGTATTCCACCTTTGAGAGTTTTACACTAGCCTTCCCTTCTCATTCCCAATCCACATCCCCTGCACAGCCCCACTCCAGGTTTTTCCTCTCTCGTGTACTATAGAAACTAGGTCACTGTTTGCTTTGTGCTATTCAGTAACTGGGCTGATGTGCTGCGAAGGCTTTAACATGATCTTGCAGGGTGACGTGGGCTGACGAGGTTATTTTTGAAATCTCTGGCTAGCAACCTCGCGTGCCTCCAGGATAAACTTTATTTTCACAGCAATTTATGATTACGTAGGATAACAGGATCTTAATTATTGTTATGATTGCTTGTGGAAAAATCATCACACACTATGTAATAATTGCATTTCAGCACAACTTCCTACAAAAAAGATTCTATTCACATAGAGTACATATAGTAGCTTATATATATATATATATATATATATACACTACCGGTCAAAGTTTGTAACTCAGTAATATTGTGAAATATTAATACAATTTAAAATAACTTGTATTAATGCTTGCAAAATAGCCATTACTCCTAGTCTTCAGCATCACATGATCCTTCAAAAATAATTCTAATACAGTTTGGTGCTCGGGAAACATTTCTTATAATTATCAATGCTGAATTATCAGTTATATAATTGTACTGATAATTATCAGCTATAATTATCAGTACAGCTGTACTACTATATTATTATATATAATATTTTTGTCGAAATTGTGATAATTTTTTTTCATGATTATTTGATTTATAAAAATCCAAAAGAACAGCACTTATTTTAGAAATAGTTATACAGTAAATTTCTTTACTGTCACTTTTGATCATTGAATTCATCATTGCTGATTTTTTTTTTATTTGTCAATATATATAGAAATACAATTAGCCTCTGGTAATGTGTTTATTATTTATATATAGACACAGTATATGTATGTGTGTGTGTGTGTGTGTGTGTGTGTGTGTAATATATAATATTACACACACACACACACGCACACAATAAATGGATATATAAGCAATTTTGACTTGAAAGTACTGTAAACTAAACTCTCAAACTTTCTATCATATTCATAACCCCAGATCACAATGCACAGATAAGATTTAAATGGACAGTTGTCATCTCAAGAGCCACATGGACAAGTCACACCTCAAACCGGTCACGGCTTTAACGCACACATTTTACTGTAATATAGCCGGGTGTGCACTGTGTGGACGGTGATGTAGCCTGCACATTTCTCACAAGAGAGGAGGCTTAAAAGCCCACTGCTTCGATGCTGAAAAGCCCATCAGCCAACCTGTTGCTCTAACAGCAGATATAGAAGGTAAAGTGTGGGTGGGGGTGAAGAGAGCAGAAAGGATTCAGCAATACAGAACGTAGCTTTAAAGAAACATACAGGGCTTTAAAAAGCCTTGGTTTCACACCACAGGGAGTGTAGTACATCTATTAGCGCTTCAATGTGATGAACTGGATACAAACTGAGCCCTCTGTAGTGCTCCAGGAGGGAGCAGCTGCGACTCCACAGACTGGAGCAAAGCACTTTGGGAAGAAGAGACAGAAGTTGCGTTGACCCTGACGCCAATCGAAACCCCACAGGGCCTCATACAGCTGACCAAACATTCAGTGTGTCGCTTTAAGAGTATAACTGCATTTTCCTTCTTATTTAGATCATCTCTTAAGGTCAACCGCAAGTGAAATTGTGGTTGAATGCTTTTGCGAGAGGAACGATATTGCCAGCAGCCGGGTCGATACAAGGGCACTAATAGTTCACCACACACCATATACCATACATATAAACTAAGAAAATGTGAGCGGTGCTTTTCTGGCCAAAACGTGCTACCATGATGAGAAGGTGTCGCTAACTGATTGTTAAGGTGTTCAAAATGCTTTTTAGCATGTTGATATGTGGTCAAAAAACTCAAAAAGGGCTCCACAACAAGTCTTTATGATATTCTGATCTCTAAATATGACTCCAGTCTCTCTTTCAATGCATGTCTGTGCCCATTTTATTATACAAAGTTTGGGGTCAGAAAGATTTTTTTTTTATTTTTGAAAGAATTCTCAAAATCTGCTCCAAGGCTGCGTTTATTTGATAGAAAATGCAGTAAAAATTGAAATATTTAAAAATAACATTACAATTTAAAATAACTGTTTTCTAATTTAATATATTTTACATATAATAAATGTAATTTATTCTAGTGATGGCAAAGATAATAATTTTCAGCAGTCAATACTTCAATCTTCAGTGTCACATGATCCTGCAGTTCAGAAATCATTCTAATTTGCTGATTTGGTATTCAAGAAACATTTATTTTTATTAAAAGAAGCAATGATACATTTGGACACAGTGATACCAGGATTCTTTGATGAATATAAAGTTCAAAAGAACAGCATTTATTTGAACTAAATATCTTTTGTAACATTATAAATGCATTTACTGTCACTTTTGATCAAATGAATGTGTATTAGTATAATAGCATTAATTTCTTTAAAAAACAAAAACAAACTACTGACCCCAAACTTTTGAACGGAGTGTATGAATGTCATTGCATTAGATACAAAATATCAAAGCAAGTGTCATTTGCAAAAAAAAACATTATTAATTATGAACATGCTGCACTGTAGATTTCGAGATGAAAATCAATTCTGATTGCTTAGAAAGGTAATACCTCTTCTCAACAAGCTGTGCAATTTAAAATTTCATTCATGTCCGTAACACACACAAGCAATGCTTAATGTTAGTGGTTTGTTCAAATTAAAAAGCATGAGCAAAAGTAATCTTGAAGATGTCATTAGCATAGACTAGCTGTACTGCCAATTTTGTTTAATTGCTATGCAGCAGGATGATCAGAATGTACTGCTCTGCTGCCTTAGTAAGAGTCTAATAAAACCATTAAAGTCCAATTAATCTTGCATTGAATGCTGAGGCTCTTTGGATTTGGGTTTATGTAACAGGCACTTCTGAGGCTGAGATAGAACCCAAAGGGCTAGTGGGAGCCCATTTCTTTATAACTCATAGAAAATAACTATTTCCAAACACCGACTGCCATCCCTCAATGTCCTACATACTTCATCTCCCACATGATGTTCTTAATGTGGGTGTTTCAAGCTTCCTGTAGTGAGCGCAACACACTGAAAATAAATTTTTGGATATTGCTCATAGCATTTTTTTATTTTTTCATTTGAGTTCGGAATAGTGCTGCTGAGAAAATAATGCAGTTTTAGCGTTTAACTCTACAGAGCAGCACCTGCATCTCACCTTTAAGAATTGAATGGCACATGTGCCCAGAGCTCCCCCCTGTGGCATATCTAAAACACGGTACGGTGACAACGGAATAAAGTAATGTACTGTAAAAACATAATAACATAATAATAACATAATAAAAAAAGATGGAATGGAATCTTAAGGTCAAAGCCCTGTTTTACACCACTTTTAACTGCAACAGCAGGCTAATTCTGAGCTTACAACGTGGAAGTCAAACCCAAAAATTGCAGCAATTGTCTGGATTTAGTGAGATATGGATAAAGTGCTATATGATCCTGCATGTTCCTATATTCATATCATATGTTAGATCTCCTCATTCTGAAAAACGTCAATAGCCAATTCTGTCAATCAAATCGTCTGTTAAATATATTTAAAAACCTTTGCAAACTAGTCCTATGTTTTGTTTTGTTTTATTCGCTCAACCTCAACAAAGCCCATGTAGTTCAATTCTCTGGACTCCCTAGGTCAATAATGATCAAAAATGGTGAAATATAGAAATTATTAAAAAACTTCACTGCATATAGAACTTGCTTCGAGCTTGACTGACAACTTAAAAAAACAACAACAGGTGAGTAGTTTGCTTCTACAATGCAAAATGATTGTGTTGATAAATAGCTCTATTTGCAGCTAAGCTTTTGCTACACTGCGCTATGCACATGTGCAGTTTCAAAAATGTTGTAACCTGCTAACATGGGCATCAAAATGAACGTGTTCTGCTTACGGTGTGTAAGAATGATATGCATACCTGTTTAACTTTTGTCAGTTCCTGCTGCATCTTATGATTAAGGCTCTCGGATTCTGTCAGCTTATCCTGTTAGAAGAGAGATCTTCATATGAGTCAGCATTAGAGTTAGCTCACTCAAGTTCACAGATAGGATTAATGAGAGCCTCGCTCAATATCACAAGAATGAATGTCACACATTCCAGCATGTGACAAAGTTTAAAATCATTGTCATGGTGGTACCTGCAGTTTCTTGAGCTCTCTTAAGGCCTCAATGTGCTCTTTTCTTAGTCTCTCCATCTCATCCAGATCATCAGAGTCTGATAACGATGGCTTATAAAATAAGTTAATATATAAAAATTATTAATAAAATTGGCAAGAAATAAAACTTAATATATGTAAAAAAAGAAAAAGACAAAGAATATGGACAAAAAATTATATATAAATATTTAAATTATATATGTGTGTGTGTAATTTTTTTTGTCAATGCACATTTTGTATGTATGCTTCTGCTGCAAAAATAAATAAAAATAATTTGCACTTACCGTAGGGTTTGATGGAGACTCAATAAGATCATCTGATGTCAATCTTGCTACTTCCTGTTCTGAGTCAGATTTGGATGGTAGTTTAAAGAGTTCCTTTGCCACTCTCTCAAAATCTTACAGAAGAAAAATTTCTTATTAAAATACGTTTAAACAAAAAATGTATAATAGCACTTTTTTTTTAAAGTGGTCATATGATGCGATTTAAATTTTTCCTTTCTCTTTGGAGTGTTACAAGCTCTTGGTGCATAAAGAAGATCTGTAAAGTTGCAAAGACTAAAGTCTCAAATCCAAAGAGATATTCTTTATAAAAGTTAAGACTTGTCCACGCCCTCCTAAAACGCCTCGCCCGCCCACCTGCCGCCGCTCACTCTAGCCCGCTGGCCGCGCCGTTCTCAAGTCCGCCGGCTGTTCCTCACTCAAGCCTGCCGTGTGTGACGCTGTGTGTTTCGTTGTGAAAGCGGCACGACGCCTTCCAAAAGAGGACACAACTAGAAATCAGTGGTTAAGTTGTATTTACAACACTGTTCCAGAACAGTTCAACCCAAATATTCAGATGTGTGCAGCACATTTTATGGAGGACTGTTTACTGATCCTGGGAGAGTAACATTAGACTAAAATGCCAGCACTTCTGACTCACGTAAGTACGTTTTCAT